TCACACTTGAAGCATAGCCCTTTCACTGGCCTATCCTGCAATTCTTCTTCTGTGAGGCGTTTGAAATTACCTCCAGGACAAACTCCAATGCTCGTCTCCTTGGGTGCTTCCCTCCGAAATGATATCGTTTAGGTCCTCGGTGCCAAGGTCATAGAGGTGTTCCTGTAAGCCCTTCCTCCCATGGGGTTGCTCCGGCTAGATTTATCCCTATAATATTTCTCCTCCACCCTTTGTGCTAGCTCCATTGTCTCTCTCAGCCCTCTAGGCCCAGCACCTTGAGCTCTGCCCTTATGTCTTCCCTAAGGCCCTTTATGAAATTTCCTTAACGACCCTTCTAAAAAATTCCCGTCAAACTTCCTGATTGCAGCTCAAACTTCTCTCAATACAACATGACGACCCCTTCTTGAGTTAAGGTATAGAATTGTTCGTGAAGGTCCCCTTTCCGAATGGCTCGAAAACGTTCCAACAAATAATCATTAAATTCTTCCCAAGAATATATCGGATACATAGCTTCTCTCCATTGAAACCAAGCTAGGGTTTTTTCTTCCAAGCATAGTTTTGCTGCTATAAGATTTTCTCCTTCCATCAGACCATTGATCTCAAAGTAACGCTCCACCTGGTACACCCAACCTTAAGCATCTTCCACTTTGAAGATGACATCTTTGACTTTCTCGACCTCGTATCCTTCCCTCAATGGTTTCTTCCTCCGTTAGTTCCGCCTGTATAGTGGTGGTTTGATTCTCTCCCTTCTTCCCTTGGCGGATTTGGACCCCATGATTCGGCCCCAACCATTGCTTCCTTCGATCCACCTTCCTTCCTTCTTGGGTGGTCTCCAAAAGGGTTTGGTCTCCCCCCTTCCTGCTGCCCTTTCTTCTGAATACCCCGATGCACGTCCCCTCGGAATCCCTCGAGGTGATCCTTGAGGGAAAACAATCTCCACTTCATCCTCCTCCTGAACTTTCTTCCCTTTCCAATCAGCCCTAGGAGTAGCTGGCGAAGCCTTCGATTGCATCTTGATCAATGTTTTCATCATGCCTTTAATTTTTCCAAAATGGCTTTCCATGGAGTAAAACTTTCCCTCCATTCTGGAAAATCTTTCCTCCATCCCAAAATGTTTCTCCTACATCTTGGCCCTAAGTTGTTCCATCTCGCTCTCCAAAGCTTCCATCTTCGTTGCTGCCATTGGACTCCAAACCACGAAAAACAACAAAATTTTGGTGAATTTGGCCTCCAAACAGCGACAATCAACAAGGTGGAAAAAATAATTTCAGCAGAATTAGCAATGGGGGCTTTAACTTTCAGCTCAAGACACCGCTCTGATACCAATTTAATACACCTTTGAGTCAAATTCAGTAAGCAACAGCAAGAAATTCACAGAAAAATAGCAAAATAGCATATTTAGGATGAACAATTGGCTGATTTTGATTAATAACTCAACAAGAAACAAAAGGTACAAGTGATCTACAATTAGAGAGGTAGTTTATCTCTCCCAATCAACCTAGACACCACTAGGAAGCCCTCACAGAAAACTATAGTAGAAAAACTCAATCAAAACGTAACCCTAATACAAAATAAATAACCCTTATATATGCCCCTACTCTTCCCCCCAAAACACCCCTAAAAGATCTATCTTGCCTTAATTAATTCCCTCCCTATTTTGAATTCAAATTCACTTCATTAATTCCTTCCTTAATCCTCCTCCTAGCATATGGAATAATTGGTTTATTGGGCCCCACAAGGGGGGCCGAAATCCCTGTGAATTAATAACCAAGCATCTGTCTTATTTCCTTTTTTATATTTAAATGGATATAATAAAGTCCTTATTTGTTTGTGTATTTTAAAGTTAACCTTTTGTTCAGAATATAGCACTTAAAAGTAGGTCTTGATTGCACTCACTTGAGTTATGATTCAATTAGTTATTATCACCTAGATTGGTCCGATATACTAAGACTATGTTTAGGTAGTGTTGCTTAAATCTTGTATCAACATAGGACAATTTTTATTTATCTTATGTGTAATTGCATATGACCACCATCAACATTATTATTACTTTTATCATCATTAGGTCTTGAAAATTAGAATTAGAAGAGAGTAGAGTTTGAAATGGGAGATTTTATTATTGAATTTTATTCCCTTACAATATATAAAAAGGAGTTGATAAGCTATAAAAAAATGGCTGGAGAAACAAATATTAAGAAAAGCAAAAAATTTAAAAACTAGTCTTTAATTCTAGAATCCAAAATTAACCGCATAGTACTTAGATTGCTGGCTTGTTATAAATGAAAGTTTGTTATCCACTGTTGGATTGTTGTAAATAGAATCCTATTGTTCACTAATTGCTTGGTTGTTGTGGATGAAAGGTGTTAGCCCTGAATTTAGGATTATTTCAACACTCAATATGGGTTCTATATGGTACTTATGCCCAACTTAATTAGTTTATCAAAACCCATTATGAGTAAAACCTTGGTGAGGATATATATAGTTTGAGGGTTTGTTTTAATATAACTTAGTTGAGGTACTTTGTTTTTAATTTTCATTATTGGTTTATCCCAATATGTTTAGTCATGTTATGGTGAACAAGATTTGCTATAATATTTATGGCTACCTGGTGGTCACAATACACTTTTAGAGATTTTTTTCGCTAATAGTTCAGTTCTTCTAACAATCTTTTTAACCACATTCATTTACAAATATCAAGAGGCACAATTCTATATTCAACTTAATACTGCTTTTTGAGATCATAAATTATTTTTTACTTCTCTATGTAGCCTTATTTCCCAACACATAAGTATAATATATAGAAGCGGGTCTTTAGAGTTATGGGTCTCCATCACAATTAAAAGTTTTGATTTTGTTATTAATGACTTTTTTATGTAACAAGCATTTTCTTGATGTCATTATGAGATACCGTAGAATATGGTTAACAACTTTTATGAGGTATTCAGGATGGTTGTTCATGTATTGTCTTACAACACTAATATGGAACCCAATATCAGGTCAGGAATGAGAGTTCAATGCATTTGCTCACATGGCAATGATACTTACCTATATCAATGGGTGAATTATTAGTGTTGATCTTTATTTTCTTTTAGAGTTTCTCTATGCTTATATTCAAGCATTCTTGTTCGTTGAAGTAGATTAAGACTATATTTCCTTTAGGAAATAATAATACCTTATTTTGATCATATTGCTTCCATATCAAGTATTTTAGATTTTTAAATCCTTTTAATATTGTTAGTTCGTTCTTTTTAGTCAATTGTTAATATAATAGCATCCTATATAAATAATTAGAATCTCATTCTTTTAGGTGAGTGCTTGATAAAAAGTGATGCGCTTGACAAAGTGTACTTATTTTTCAACATATTTGGAGAAACTACCAAATTAGGCACGAGAGATTGTTTGAAGCCATATAAAATTTTTTAAGTCTACATACCATATATATTGGTATTTCTCTGTTTTTCCAATCCATATAAGATCTCCACGTATACTTCATCCTTGTAAGTCCAAAAACATTCTTAATATCAAGTTGATATAGAGACCAAATATGTTGCGAGAGAGAGAGAGAGCTTTAAACTGTGCTGACTTTGGCGATGAGATAAAGTCTCTTGATAGTCAATATCATTTGGTTGGGTGTACCCTTTTACGATAAGTCAGGCTAGAAATTTATTCATGTTTTTATTTGCTTTATATTTAATTATAAAAATCCATTTGCATCAAACTGATTTAGTCTTAGTAGAAGTTCATAAACTTCCTACATACCAGTCTTTTTCTGAGGCCCAAATTTCTTCCATTATAACTTTCTTTACTTGGGATTTTGAGGGCTTCATGAGCATTAGTTGAATTTTATATTTTATCAAGTGAACTGGCAAAAATATGAAATTCAGGTCAAAGCTTTTTACTGGTCATGAAATTACAGATTGTGTTTGGTGCGTGAACTCGCCCTTTTTCTTAAGGAAACAGAACATTCCAGTTCAGTATCACCTATAGATTTTATTGTTAGCTTGTACTTCATTACTGCTTGAACTAAGTTTATGTTCTTGAGTGTGCTGGAGATATGGTGATTGCTCTCCTTATTTATCATTCTCCTTTCTAGCATAGACACAAAACACATTCGAAATAAAAGTTAGGCTATGAAGCACAGGCATAAACAGGGGGACATGGCTAGATAGACATGACATGGTGACTTGTTAAAATTGCAAAAAGGACACAACATTCCGTGAATACTTTTTTACACTTAATAAAATATTAATATTAAATATATATTTTCTATTATATATCACATGATGAAGTATAATCTCATTAAAAAAAACTTTATTATTGCCACATGCCGGAACATTCGTGATGGTATAGAGATAGAGGTTTAACGTCTTAGTTTTGCACAAAGGAGATAAGAATGCAAAAATTATAAGTGATGCCAATTTTTTTACGTGAAAATTTTTGAAAAGGTTGAACCCACGAGGCCCGGCCCATAAATTTTTTCTAACCTTTTTTCATGATATTCATCAGTTAAAGTTCTATATTATCTCCAACAATCAATGTCATAAAGCCATAGTAGCTTCTTAGCCAATATACTAACTAAATATTTGACATATATAGATGGTAATGTGCTTAACATTACAATACAGAAAAAGGATTCATGTAGCCGACCCCACGTAGTGGGGACAAAGGCTTGATGTTGTTGTTCTATTTGCACATTTATTTTCCTGAAAATTTGAAAGAGATTTCCACCACTCGAAGAGGCCCGTGAATTGTCAGTTTGTCCACAATAATGGATGACTGGCTTTGCAATCCCATAAATTGCTAAACTAGCCTCTAAAACCTTCAACACGAGTGACCTGTGTTTTCTTCGTGATGGTCAAATTTGAATGCCAATTTTGCTCCATTTCGAATGGTTTGGAAACGAAATGAGTTTCTACCTGACGTTGCTATAAAGATTCATAAATACCACTTTTCTCAAAGTTTTTATAGGTATGATGATAAATTTCTATGTGGTTTTGCAGAAAGGGCAGAAGATTCATTCTTTCATGTATGAGGACTGTAACGGTGCTGGTAATACAAGTTTTCAAACATTAAGATGCACCAAGGGGACCTTTTCCTCTGACAAGCCATCTCATTCTGGTTCTTGTTCCAAAGCATCCACAGTTTGTATGGGTGAAAAGGATGATGGTCACATTAATAATGCAAATGAGGCCAACAATTGCCGACGAAAATTGAGAAGTTTTGCTTTACTTCCAGATTACTTAGCTGATTGTGAACTAAATCGTATACCTGTTGGTTCATCCTTTCAAGTGCAAGTGCCACCTTGGACCAGAAAGCCTGCAAATTTGTATGATTCCGATGACCTGAAATGGTTGGGAAGACGGATATGGCCTCCGGAAGATCATGAGAAAAAGCTGCCGTCCCCACCAACAAATCTAATTGGGAAAGGAAGGGAAGACAGCTGCAAGTGCAGAAATCCTGGCTCTGTGCAGTGTGTGAGATTTCATGTGGCAGAGAAGAGGCTCCAATTGAAATGTGAACTAGGTGTAGCTTTTTACGCATGGAGATTTCATTTCATGGGCGAAGAAGTTGCATTGTCGTGGAAAGAGGAGGAAGAACGGAGATTCAAGGCGATATTCCGCCTAAATCAACCACCTCACAGCCAAAATTTCTGGAAACAGCTTCATCTGTGTTTTCCTAGAAAAGGAAACAGAAATCTGGTTAGCTATTACTTCAATGTGTTCCTCCTCGCTCTCAGAAGTTATCAAAATCGAGTGAGCCCAAACAACATTGACAGTGATGATGAGGAAACTGAAGTCGGCTTTCTAAATTGCTCTTTTGGTTATGGTTCCATAAGATTTCATGATCCTAAATCGATCGTTTGTGCTCAGAATTTGCAGTGTGTTGATTTAGCTGATTAGCTGTATTGTGCTCAAACAGAAGACCGTTGCAATTTTTTTCCTGAAAGGATCATTCTCTAAGGATTTGCAGTTTATGTGAGATTGAGGAACCTTTTGGGCAGTTAGTGATTTGGCAGGAAGGGTCAGCGGAATATGTTGAGAGTATCAAGCCAAAGCATGAGAGGAACACCCTAACAGGTATTTAATTTTCACTCTGTAAGATTTGAACTTTTTTTTCTTTGTGTAAATTGCATGGGAAAATTCTAAAATTGTTGCCATCTTTATGAGGACACTTCTAGTTCATCTAGCACTAGAGAAAATAGTTTTAATCACAAGATCAAATCATTTTAAAATGAATTGGAACAAAACAAAGATATAGGGTTTTCATTACTTGTTTGTGGCTTCACCTGTTCTCTGAAAATTTTTATGATTTAGGATGCTTGATCATTTAGAGACCAGTTTTTTTAATTGTTTATTATTTCAATGTCAAGGATCTCTTTTCTTGTTTCTTTGTAGATTTGTATCTCTGATCTGTCCAAAAGGAAATTACTTATGCTAAATTTTATTTAGGAAAATTTATATTATGATGTGTAAAGTCTTGAATGAGTTGTTTAAAGGGTTGTTTGGTTTATTGAAAAAGAAATGCAGAGTAAAATGAAATATACAACAACAACAACAACATCATCATCAAGCCTTTGTCCCACTATGTGGGGTCGGATACATGAATTCTTTTTCGCCATTGTGTCCAGTTAAAAGTCAAATTCTCATTTAAATCTAATAAAGAAAGACCATTTCTAGTATTTTCTAACCAAGTCTTTTTAGGTCTACCTCTACCTTTCTTAACATAAATCGAATATAATACCTTAACTTTCCTAACCGGGTCATCGGAAGGCCTCCATTTAATGCGACCAAATCATCTAAGGCGACTCTCTCTAATCTTATCTTCCACAGGAGCTACTCCAACCTTTTCACGTATATGCTCATTTCGTATCCTATCTCTAAGGGTCAAGCCACTCATCCATCTAAGCATCCTCATCTCTGTAACACTTAACTTAGTATTATGCTTTTATTTTAATGGCCAACATTCGGCACCATAAAGCATTGCAGGTCTCACCACCATCTTATGGAATTTTCCCTTAAGTTTGAAGGGGACTTTTCTATCGCACAACAAGCTCGATGCATTCCTCCACTTCAACCATCCAACTTGAATTTTGCTAATAATATTCCCATTTATTTCACCATCACTCTGAACAATATAACCAAGATATCTAAAACGTGTACTCTTATTAATGATTTGATCGCCCAAAGTCACAATCCCCTCACTAGGTCTATTGCTACTAAAATAACACTCCATATATTCAATTTTAGATCTACTCAAGCGAAAACCTTTACTCTAAGGTTGACCTCAATAATTCAAGTTCACCTTCAACTCCCTCTTTAGTCTTATCAACAAAAAGAATATCATTAGCAAAAAGCATACACCAAGGTACATCCTCTTGCAAATGTCTAGTGAGAACATCCATAACTAAAGCAAAAAGTTATGGACTTAAGGCTGATCCTTAATATAATCCAACCGAAATAGGAAAATACTTGGTCAAAGCACATTGTGTTTGAACATAAGTAATAGCTATTACATACATATCTTTAATGATTTGAATATAAGCGTTATTAAATCCTTTCTTTTCAAGAACTCTCCATAACACTTCTCTTGGAAGTTTATCATATGTTTTCTCTAAATCAATAAGTATCATATGTAGATCCTCCTTATTCTCTCTATATTTCTCCATCATACCTCTCAATAAATGTATGGCTTCCATAGTAGACCTACCCGACATGAATCCAAATTGACTTTGAGAAACATTAGTATCACGCCATAACCTACGCTCCATAACTTGCTCCCATAATTTTAAAGTATGACACATTAACTTAATTCCTCTATAATTCGTACACTCATGTGCATCACCTTTATTCTTAAAAATATGAATTAACACACTCATTCTCCACTGATTTGACATCTTTTTATTCTTCAAACTAGTATTTAAAAATTTAGTAAGCCGAGAAATTCCTTCATCTCCTAAGCATTTTCACATTTCTATTAAAATATCATCATGTCCAACAACTTTTCCACACTTCATTTTCTTCAAAGCATCTCTAACTTCGGTTTTACTTATATGACGATAAAAACAAAAATCTTTATTTTCATTTAGGATGATAAAATCACTAAAGTCAATCGTATTTTCACATTCTTCATTAAAAAGTTTAGCAAAATATCTCATCCACCTTTGTTGAATATCATCTTCTAAGAAAAATAGTTTTTTATATTCATTCTTAATACACTTCACTTGAACTAAATCCTTACTATTATCTCTTTGTTTGTCTAATTTATACATATATCTTTCTACCTCCTTAGTATCTAATCTATTATATAAATCATTAAAAGCTAAGTTCTTTGCATCGTAAATAACTTTCTTAAATTTCTTACGAGCCTCTTTATAGTTTTCTCAATTATTAGAATTTTTACATCTAAACGAATTTTTATAACACATCTTATTTTTTTTATATTTTCTTGCACATTTGGATTCCACCACCATTATTTTTACTATTATGAGTTTTTCTCTTCGAAACTTCAAGCACATCTTTTGTAATATTCTTAATATCACTAGTCACTTTTTCCCACATAATATTATCATTATCATGTAAAGATAGAATCTTAAGATCTAAAATCTTACTCTCAAAAATACTTTTGTTAATATTCTTTAGATGCTCCCATCTAATTCTAGAAAATCGTTTTACTTTATTTTTTATTTTTTCTCATTTATCTTAAAGTCCAAAATTAATAATCGATGTTGGGTACATAAATTTTCACTATGAATAACGTTATAATTTTTGCAATCTAAACAATCTAATTTTCTTATAAAAAAATAATCAATATGTGCTTTACTATATCTATTTTTATAAGAGATAAGATGCTCATCTCTTTTCTTAAATAAGATATTACTTATTAAGAAATCATAAGCTAAAGAAAAATATAATATAGTCTTATCACATTCATTTGTAGTTCTAAATCCATGATCATCATGGATGCTTTTAAAAACATCTATCTCTCTACCAACATGTCCATTTAAATATCCTCAAATAAAAACTCTTTCTTCAAGAAGTATCTTTTGTATTAATTTTTCAAAGTCATTCTAAAATTTTAATTTTGAATTCATATTCAAACCTACTTGAAGAATATAAGCATTTATAATATTAACAATCTTAGCATCAACAACAATCTTTAAATCTATAATTTTATCTTCAATTATATTAATTTTTATAACATTATCCTTCAAACTCTTATCTATAATCACACATACACTATTTTTAGTACGACTCCTACCCGAATACCATAGTTTATATCCTAAGTCGCTAATCTCCTTAGATTTCTCTCCAACCCATTTAGTTTCTTGAATGCACATAATATTTATCTTCCTATGAATCATAATATCTATTTATTCCACGAATCTTTCTGTAAGGGAGCATATATTCCAAGTTCATATCATAATTTTAGTTTCATGAACTAGCTTGTTGGCCCACATTCATCCTTGATGTGGGAACCCTTGCCTATTTAACATTGCACCCGGGCGCCGGTGCAGCAGCCCTTGCACACTTGTCACTGTATTCAGGCCATACAACGCGTCGCTTCTAGGGGACGACCTAGCATTTACACAATTTTTTAATGGATTCATGTCATGATTATTCGACAAGTTTTACGTTGGCTGTCGACTACGTAACGTAACCCTCCATTTTTCTCATCCAGGACTTGAGACCTGACAACGATAGTGTTAGAGTAAAATGAAATATAGTGTAAAAAAAATACAATATATTTGAAATATTTTGAGTTATTTAGATGAATGTAAAATAAATACAGGTGATTTATTTTTTTGTTTGCTTAAAGTAAAATAAATATATTGTAAAGCCCAATGATGGTGGTGTCCATTGCTGGTGGAGCGGCGGGCAGGCAGTTGGCGATTGCGTTAATGATGGAGAATTTATAGTGTATTTAGAAATCAATCAAAACTAATAATTTTCAACTACATCAAATTGAATTAGATGATGAATTTTAAATATTTTAAATTTTTATTTTGCATTTTTTGATGTAGTTGAAAATTATTAGATTTGATTGATTTTTAAGTACACTATAAATTCTTTGTTTCAAATCAAATCAAATAACCCTTACATTTGAAACACTTGACACCCTTTTTATTTCAAATCAAATAACTCTTAAATATTTGTTCTTTCACCTATAGTTTTGAAAATTTTAAAATATGAGTGTTTCTTCTCTTTCATTAACCCATCACAAGGAATGCCATGCAATATAAATGTTAATGATGTATAATCAAATTTATAAGAATAAAATTAAGAAATTGGTATGTGATAATGATAATAAGTTTAATTTTTAATAAAATTGAATAGATATGATTAAATTTCATAAAATTATTTTAATTATTCTCTAGTGATTTTAATTTAATGAAGGTATTGTATTTAAAGATTATAATTATTTTTAAAAAAGCAAGGGTTAGATTATTATTATTATTATTATTATTATTTTTACGTGTTAGAAAATTTGAGTTTGTAGAGTGTATTTTATATCTCAGCATTATACAAAAATTCAGCATGTATAGAGAATAGTTGTAAGGCTAAAAATTTTTACGTGAAAAATCCAAAAAAATGAAAAAGAAAAAAAAAACACGGGGCCTAATCCAGTAGAAAATATTCACTGTGTAGTCAATGATATAAGATTCCTCTCTTCCTCAGAGTTAAAGAATGAGAAATTATTCGAAGACAAATGTCTGATTTTTTTTAACAGATGAATATTTGAGACACAATAATAGGTTTAGTTTACTTTATAGAGGATATAGAAGTTTGATGTCTATAGGAAGATAGTTAATATCTAATAATGAGGTTAAATCTTGGAAGGCATTTGGAGATGGTTGTGATTGATGGAGGTGGTTGATAGTGGTAATATTGTGTCATGATCGTGCCAAGAGGCTCGAATTAATGAGGTGAAAACAGACGGTCGAATAGTAGATTAAATTTTCATTTGCTAAATTTATCTTCAATGTACTGAAAGAGCCACTAAAACTTCAAAATATATATATATATAAACTAATACAAAATGAATTAAATTCTTTTCATTTGGTGTTTCATGTCTACGATACATATTTTTACATATTCTTTTCATTTTGATTATATTAAATTATATCTGAAAATGCTAGAGCAATTAAAAGTAAGTCACAACTTAGTGAGTAAAGCATGCTTCTAAATTAATGTAATCAAAGGAAATTAAAACAATATGTATGAGCATTTTAATTCAAATAATAAATTAATTTCATTTAAATTCATTTCAT